AAGAGGAGAACCACCGTAAAACGGTGCCTCCAACTCCCACCTCCTCTAGCCATCACAGAAGGATACCATGGTCGATGGTATCGAAGGCCACTGAGAGGTCAAGGAGCACCAGGATAGAGGAATGTCCCCAATCCCTGGCCTGTCAGAGATCATCGGTCAGTGCAACCAAAGCGGTTTCGGTGCTGTATCCCGGCCTGAAACCAGACTGAAAGGAATCTAGGTAATCTGCTTCATCCAAGGTCCGTCAGAGTTGAAGGGCCACTACCTTCTCAGACAACCTTCCCCAAAAAAGGAAGGTTGGAGACAGGACGGTAGTTCTTAAGAATAGCTGGGTCCAGAGAAGGCTTCTTAAGGAGGGGTCTTACCACCGCTTCCTTCAAAGGTTGCAGGAAAGATCCCTCCTGTAAAGACATGTTCGTAATCATCTGGAGCCAGCCTCGTGTTACCTCCCTGCTGGTCGGGTCCAGTGAACAGGTGGAGGCACTCATCGCTCCCATTGCCTTGTCCACTTCCTCAGAAGTGACAAGCTCGAACTCATTCCAGGAAATCTGATCAAGACTCTCCCTTGGCATCTTTGCTGGTACTGCCCAAGTGGAGTCCAGGTCTGCCCGAATCTGAGGGATTTTTTCTGACAGAAACTGAACGAACTCCTCAGCCCTTTCCTGTAGGGGTCCCCCCGCATCCTCACCTTTCAAGAGGGAGCGGGTTACCCTAAACAGGGCAGCTGGGCGAGATTCTGTGGACGCAATAAGAGCGGAAAAATGTGCACATTTTGCCGCCCATATCGCCACTAAATAAGTCCTAATAAAGGTCAGATTCGGAGTTACTGGCTCTCCAGCGTCGCTCTAGGTGTCTCTTTTGACGCTTCATCTCCCGGAGTTCCTCGGTGAACCAAGGTGCCCTCCTGGATCCACTGCCGTGGAAAGGCCGCAAAGGCGCAATCCGATCCAGTGCCTCAGCCGCCGCAGCATTCCAAACAGCGACCAAGGACTCTGTCAGATTGTGGACAAGGGAGTCAGGTATCTCTCCAAGCTCCTTCTGAAATCCCAACGGGTCCATCAGGTGCCTGGGGTGGAACCACTTAATTGGCTCCACCTCCCTGCAATGGGGGAGAGGCATCCCAAAGTCAAGCTCAGCAAGGAGTGATCGGACCATGACAAGGGCGAAATCTCTTTTCCCCTTAATTCAAGATCACGTCTCCACTGCCCTGAGAGAAATACAAGGTTTTGGATGAGAAGCAAAATATTTTCCAGGAAAAACACCCAGAAATTCTAGTTGTCTTTTGAAACTTCATCTTAAGGGCATTTGTTTGCATTATTTTTTAAAGACATGAATACCACAATGGAGAGTAAGCAAGAATAAATGGCAATTAGTTCTTAGTTCTGGTATCGTCTTAGCTGTAACTCATTACATAGTTGGGGCTTTGGCCATGGTAATATATATTATAGGTTGTAAAGGAGACAGTAATTAGAAAGCCTGAATAAACATAAATTTCAGAAAATCAGTTTGTAATAAACATTATCAAGAAGATAAAGTCTGATATTTTAGACATCGGTCCAAAAGTCCAGAGCCTTGTCCAAAAA